ATATTGCTAAAGACCATGTCAGAAACGGAGTGGTGAGTCCTGTCTGATGGTTAGGGACTCCCTGTCAGTCTGAATGTAGAACAGCAATTGCCAGAGTCTGGGAAGGGCAGTGGCAATACATAGGTTTGGTAAACAGGTACCACGTTGCCCAAAGTGATCAGCAGATTCAAAGCGGTCCCCATTAAAATCTCTATTAAATGACATTTCATAGAAATACACAATTCTAAAATTCCTATGGAAACACAGAAGATACAGAATAACCAAAGCAATTCTAAGAAAGAAAAAATAAAGTCAGAACCATCACATTTCCCAAATTAAAAATCATACTACAAACCTATAGAAATCAAAACAGTGTGATAATGGTATAAATTCAAAATAGAGAGTCCAAAATCAATCCAAACATATACAGTCAACTAATTTTTGTAATGGGGTCACAATGGGGAAAGTATCGTCTCTTTAATAAATAGTTCTGGCAAAACCAAATTGCCAACTGCTAAAGAATGAAACTGCATCCAGACACAAAACCTTAACTCTTAAAGAAAAGAAGATATACTTTTGACATTGGCCTAGACGTTTTTTGGATATTATACCAAAGGTTCAGACTACAAAGACAAAATGAATGGATAACAACATATCAAACTGAGAAGTTTCTTACAGCAAAAGAAATAGTCTAGAAAATAAAAACTGCAATTTTTTTTTTCTTGGTACTGGGCATTGAACTCAGGGGCACTTGGCCACTGAACCACATCCCCAGCCCTATTTTGTATTTCTTTTAGAAACAGGGTCTCATTGAGTTGCTTAGTGCCTTGCTTTTTCTGAGGCTGGCTTTGAACTCTGGATCATCCTGCCTCAGCCTCCCAAATCGCTGTGATTACAGGCATGCACCACCACACCCAGCTGAAAACAACAATCTTTTTATATTCTATACATATTTAATTTTGTTCGGAGCAAGGTTTTCAAGAAAAGATAATTTTTACTACTGTGGGGATATTGTATTATACAAGTGTTTAGTTTAATTGACTGAATTATGTGTAAGATGCATATAATTTTAAACATTGCAAATAAGTAGCCTGTTCCTAAGGCATAAAATAGATAATTTTGGAAATAACTTTATTTAGTTTATATTTTGATGACTTAAGTCTGTAAGAGCATTGATCATACTGAAATTCATGATGCTTAAGATTTGTACATTTCAAATTCCAAAACTTGCTGGGTTGCTTTTACATGGTAGAAAGATTCTGTCTGGTTGGCCAATGTTGTTCTTTTTTTTTTTTTTTTTTTCTGAATTCTGTACCTGTTTTGAACTAGGAATTAGCTAATTTTATGTACTAACAGAATTAAGCATGGAGTCAGATGAGGTTAGGATACTGGGGTTGCCACAGGTAGGAAACAGAAAAGTCAGTGTTTGCATGTACAGAACAAAAGAGGCTCATGTAACTTTCATTAAAAAATTGTTGGAAAAATGTATAAATAATCGAATAATAATGCTATAATAGTTGATTAATAAAAATCCATTTTAGTATAGTTTCAATGAAAGTTGTGCCCAGTTCAGTAGTACAATGTTGTGAAATCAATCTCCAGAATTTTATCTTGCAAATCTAAATTTTAAATGCATTATGCAACTCCTTACCCTGGGAGACAGGAAATTGACCACATATAAATCAGCACCCAAATCACTTAGTAGTCTGTGTTTCCAAGGTTTGAAGTCATGGTAAACATCAAGTTCCTAAAATTAGGGGGAGACAGAGAATTTTTCCCCTCTATTCCATCTTCACCTTGATTTTCAATAATAATTGTGTAGGCTTGAAATATCCATTAACTGGAAGAATTTGTTATTTTATTTTGAGCCAGAGGAAGAAAAACATTTAAACATCAGAATTTAGTTTTGTATTGGTACTAAAGCAGGAAGGTAATAGATTTTTCACAAGTTATATTTGCCTTGTTGTTAAAAAACATCAGCGTCTTTAAATCTACTTGTAAAAGTCAGATAGCTTGTATTGTTCTAGAAATTGAAACCTAGTTTCACTTTCGGTTTATGTTAATAATATAATGATAATAATAAGATCTGTAATAAAAGCCCTACCTACTATAGGACAAGCACAACACTAGATTTTTATGTTCATTATCACATTCAGTATTTGCAAAAATCCTTTGAAGAGAAAACCATCAGTATCTTTGTTTTGCAATGATGAAACTGAGCTTCCTAGGTGACACAGCTGAAAAGGGACAAAGTGAGATTAGGCCCTTGGGTGGTCTGCTGTATTACAAAGTCTGTACTTGTAAGTCCCAGGCTGTGATGGTTAACAGCTGTACTTCCTCAAAACATTAAATCTGAGTAAATTACTTTTAAAAATTTGTTTTGTGAAACTAAAATATATTCCCCTAGAGACATAGAGTCAAATTGCCGTGCTTTAAGTTCATTTCAAACAGCGCCTGTCTCTGTGGTATGTCACCAACTCAGGAAGCAAGCGGTCGTGCTCAATTTACATTCTACTTACAAGATTTAGGAATTGATTTTTGCTTGATTTAATTTTAATTTTACAAAATATACATTGCAGTTGGACTTCCAGAGTGGCAGAGGAAAGAGCAGGTATCCTTTCCCCAAAACTCAGGGATAAAACAGGATATAATTCTCAAAATAAGACATCTCAGAATTAAGGAATGAGTGAGGGCGTACAACAAATTGAGAAGAGCTTGCTCAAAAATAACTACCAGATCCCCCATAAGAACAGTGGGCACTTAACACAGGGAAGTTCACATGGTAAATCCAGCTGAGGTCTTGCTGGCACGGTAAGGGTAGACACAATTTGGAACTCCATAGAAAGGCCTCTCACCCGGAGAGTTTGTAGAAACAACAGCCACAGTGGTAAAAACCAAAGGTTGACATCACAGCTGCCAGAGGCTGCAGAACTGGACAAAGAAAAGAAATACCAAGCGAGATTTAACAAAAACATCTGGGAGATGAGACACGCATGGTGGACTCTGATCCGCCCCAACTTGTTTCTGGAGATCTGGAAGGCTGCACACTTATGACCAAAGGGGAAGAGTCATCTGCCCAACCCAACTGAACACAAAACCTTGCACAAAGAGAAAGTACAGCCCAGGACAGATTTGTCAACTACTCAAGCAGTATGTGCTCTAACCACACAGGCTTCCTCAGCAAGGTGGAAGTCTTACTAGTTTAACTAACAAGGCACAGCCTCTGACAAATCATTGCCTACCACCTAGCTGCACTGACCCAGGAGTGGCTTCCTAGGAACCTGGGTTAATAACTGGGGAAAAAAGTAAGAATGGAGGCAGAGAGGGAGAAACAAAGGAAGGAAGAAGGAAAATTATATATCTTAAAAACAAACTGATCAGGGACATCAGTGTCTATAAACCACATGGCCAGCAGAATCTACAAAACTGCTCCAAGTAAGTAATTTAAAGATAAAAATATAAAAGCAAACAAACAACAACCAAAGAAAAAAACACAAAAAAGCATATATGAGGTATTAGTTTGGCTCCCCAGACACTGAAAAAAGAATTTCAAAAATAAAAATAAAAGGGAGAGAAGCAAAACAAAACAAAAGTGACTTCTTCGAAGAGTCTACTACTAGAAAAGAAAAAAAAATCATCAAAGAACAGATTAATTTAAAAACTTAAAGTGTATACATCCATGGAGTTCTATTAGCACTTCCAAGGAATGGGTTACTGATATACCCAGCAACCAGATTACTTATAACCATAAGCTTAATGGATATAAAGTCTGATACAAAGTGTACCTCGATTTATTCCCACCTGAATAAACTTAGAAAATACAAATCTAAGCTTCAGAGGCATAAAGCAGATCAGGAGTTGCAAATTGTTGGGTTGAGGGTGGTTTTGACTTACAAATGGGTTTGAAGAGTTGTAGAATTCTATATCTTATTTGCAGTCTTGTTTACCTGGGCAAATATATTTGTTCAGATAAATTATGCACTTAAAATACATGCATTTTACCAAAAGGTATACAATAACACAGTTGATTTAATTTTTTTCAAAGAAGGCAAAAAATGAAAAAGAAAATATTTCAAAGGACAAGAACAGATTGAAGTAGGAAACACTCCATATCAGACAGAGGGACACAGGCTCAGCTGGTTTTGCCCCCCACCCCCCGGCTAGTTCAACACCTGTGTGTAACGCTTTCCTATTCAGTGCTGAGCAAATGCTAGTTGAATTAATGATTGAAACCTAAAGGGACTACAGTCTAGACCAGGCTCTCTCAGAGAACATATTCTTAGAGGAAATTTGTCTCCCCTATACAGTGGTTGCCGCCATACCAGCCCAACCCTGAGAAGTTACTCTCTTGCTTCTTTTTCTTAACCATTTTGTGATACCTGTGGCCCATTACTTTTCATACCTGACTTGCATGCATCTATTTGTGTTTGGAACAAACTAGAAGCCATTACCTCCCCGTATTTAATGTTTCAGGAGGAAAAGTTATATTTGTCTTTAAAGGTTTTAGGAGAAGACAAGGAAAGTCAAAGGAAGCTGGAATGTTTCAGCTAAATAACAAACACTTAAACAAAAGGGAGGTATCCACGATCCAACAGAAATAGCTGTGTAAGAAAAGCAGAGAAAAAAAAAAAACTACCAATATTACCAATTAGTCCTGACATGGATATGGTAATTTTTTTTTTGTTCCCTGTGTCTAGTTTTCCACTAAACACAACATGAGCATATATTATATGTAGGAAAGGTACCTTGGTCATGGTCATTACCCACAAGGAGCTTAAAAATAAAAAGGAGAAGAAAGATACGCGTGGCTGTGCTCAGGTAGGAAGTGAGGCCGGCACGCAGAAGAGTCCAGTCCAGGAACTTGCTCAGCTCAGAGGTGGGAGAGGCTGCTTCCCAATCCTGGGTCAAGGAAGTGGCATCAGGGCTTTGAAATTAAAGTGGGATATGGAAACAAGTGGCTGTCAGGCAGAAAGAGAAAGAACTCAAACGGAGCACACAAACAGTGGCATCGCTAGGTTTTCCTAAGCCCCTGGGTGGTCAGGCTCTTGTTGCAATGGGGAGACGTCGTGAGGCATCTCACAGGATATTCTGACATGAGCTACAAGAGAACAAATGGGAGAAACCATAGATAAACTGGAAATAGTGACTGAGGATAAGGTGGAGTTGTCCAGAGAGAGAAGCTGAGCGGTAACAGGGTAGAAGTGGGATGAAAAGAAGGAACATAGACTCACCATCACTTCTTACGCCCTAATACAGGGATGAGCAGAAGTATCACAGGTACTATCACTGCCAAGAGGACCAAGTTCACAGAAGTGTGGTGTCCTGTGGATATTAGAGACAGGGAAGGATGTTATCTTAAACCCACTGCTGATTCTCCTCCGCCCATTGATTTCCTGACTTTCCATGTGCCTTGGGTATGAGCCACATCAGTCATCCTGTTTCAGCCACTCTGTTTCCACCCCTATCCAGGGAAGGATTCTTCACTTGCCCGGAAATCTCTTGGCTGTATGTGTCCCTTACGTCTCACTCTTCCATGTCTTGAATTACTGGTGTTCATTTCTTCCTCACACCCCTCACCTACCTTACCAAAATGTCCACATGACCACCTACTCTACCTCCCAGTCTTACCCCAGTAGAGGATCATGTCCTGGCCTCCTAGACTGCTGTGCCTCACTCGACAAGACAGGCCAGATGCTTCCTCAGCTGCCACCTCCAGGATCACCCGAAGATACCACGTTCCATCGGCATTAGGAAGAATATCATCTTGCTTGGTGCCCACTTGCTCCTGCTCACCTCGCATCCACATAACCCAGATAGGTTTGGGGTAGAAACCAGAGACGTGACAAACCAGCAATAGTGGACCCGGCTCAATGGTGAGGCCACTGGACAGCCAGGCCTCTGGTCTCACTGCAGAAAGCACAAAGGGGATTCAGATGTGGGTGTTATGTACAGCCTAGGGACACATATCCACACCAATATGCACCATTATCTATTTTCTTCCCCAATGAAACTATCACCAAGTAACCCTTCTCCCTCTTGTCCCCTTCCTCGTCCTAAGTTCACATAGGGTGGCACTCAGAGGAAGGTGCAGAACTGACCTCTTCTTTGGAGCTCCCTCTTTCCCGCATCTAGGAGACCCAAGAGGAATCGAGGGCAGGTGTTTCTGGTGAGATTGTACACTATTTCCTTGATGCCTTCATAGCGATTAAGGAGATCACAGATTTTCTTGGCTCTACTCCCACCCTCTGGAGCTGGCACCCATGATATGTTTTGGAAGCTCAGGAAATCTGATCCTTCAAAAGCGGCCTGGAAGAAGCTTTCTGGGCTCTCTGGAGAGTGTAACTCACAGCCGGCACTTGCTTGTATTTCAAAGGGATCTGGGGGAAGGGTAAAATGAGAAAAAGTTTGAACGAAAAAACTAGAGCATTGAAATAATAATCTAAAGGCCTCATCAGCAAGTGTAGTAAAAAGGAAGGATGAGCCAAAGATATGTTCAGTTAGGAACTAGGGAGAGAAAAATGGCTGGGGATGGGAAAAGAGGAAAATATGAGATAAATAGATTAGCAGGAGATTGACCTTAGAAAAGTCTGGAGAAACGATAGGTGAGTCATCTAATATTGGCTAGAAGTGAGGGGGAATTTTTGTGAGGAAGATGGCAGTAGCATTTCACGATGCATGAAGTTGTCATAATCACTGTTGGACTATGAATGTAGATCTTTGAAGAAATCGGGGAAGAGATCATATTTTAAGGAAGTCAAGCACCAAATGGACAAAGGTGTGCCTCTGGATTGTGGGCCACAGAGGGAGATCATAGGCAGAAGATTTAAAAAAAATACAAGAAAAAATATTTTAAAATAATAAAAGTAAGAAATTTTAAAGAATCAATATTTAAAATAATCTCCTAAAAGATTTACTCATGCAGACTTTTATGGTGGAATGGGATAGTAGAAAATGGCCCTATTTAGATAGGACTAGAGAGTTTACCAGAAATAGAACAATCCTCTGAAGAATTCCCTTAGCTGTGTTGGATGAACTTACATTCGAAATGAAATTGACTGGCATGAGTTTGAATCTGCTGAGTTAATCCAATGAAGTATTCACGGAATAGCAGCTCCAGGAATACAAACTCCTTATTGCTGAAGTTGCCCTTGGACCAGGTGTGCAGGAATATTATTGTGCCTGATTCACTTTTCCAGCCGTGAATCTGCAACTCATCCAGCCAACCTGAGCCTTGATGCTTTGCCCAAGATTGGTTGGCGAAGGATGAGATCTGGATGAGATGGAATGAGATCTGTTCCTGGACCACTGGGGATGGAAGAATGTCATATAGTATAAGGCAAACATGAGTGCATAGCAGGACAGGGAGAAGATGGTAAGTGGTCCAGTTCCCAGAGAAAGAACCTTAGCCTTGACCTTCTCCATACACAGAGCAGCACGCCCTGTCACCATCCTCCAAAAGAATAAAAGGGATACTCAGATTGTAAGCGTATTGGTATTAGGGTCCATCTTGGGAAAGCCCACCATGCTCCACCTGGATCCCCCCGAGCTGGGCAGCTGGCAGAGAGGTTCTTACCATGTGCATTGTCACTGCCTGGGAGGAGAAGAGCCAACGATGGAAGGTACAGAAGCAGCATTTCGTCTGCAGGTGTTTCCTTCTCTCTCTCAGCAAGTCTTTGATGGCTGATGTCAACAAACCTCCCCTTCCATACCACTAGTCTGGCTTCCTCCTCTCACCCGTCATTTTCTGAACCAGTCACTGATGGCAGCAAAGAAAATTTAGACTTTGCCTCAATATTGAGTCTCCTACTCAATCTCTCATTTCCCCTCCTGCTCTGAGCTAAAGTTATGCCCTCTCTCTGTATTCCAGTGGTTCTCCTTTTCAGTAAGCCTCCATCATATTTCCTTCCTCAAATGCCCTTGGACAAAGTAGTGTGTGGCACCCAAGGGTCACCTCAGCTCTCTGAGTCTTGCATTCTATCTGTCACATAAAAAGAAGAAAGTGTATGGCTTCCTGCTTGTTTGAATGGGTCACAGTGTTTCCCATTTCTGCTCTGAGCTAGGCCTCATGCTCCCTCCTGTCCTCTTCTCAATACTCCCTGCTTCTCTGTCCCTTTTCATTGTCCTCCCAGTTTTCTCTTTCCCATTTCACCCTTTATTCCTCCACAATTCTCATTTCTTGATTTTCACTGGTTCTTTGATGAATTGGAGAAACTGTAGTTTCATGGCTCCTAGGACTTCCCCATGCACTCTCCATTTTTTTAAGAGATAAAATTGTAGCTTTTCAAAGTATAGAAGATCTGATTCATGAACTTTAACTCCAATTTCAAGTTCTTACCTCATGTGACTCTATCATCCTTCCTGCAGCCCTTCAGAGCAAGGAGCTCCATCTCATTGCAAATGGGCAGGTTCTCCATATGGCATTGACAGATTTCCTAGCATAGGTCAAGGTCATAGATGAAAGAGACTTTGGGGACTCAGGCATCAAATGAAGCTGGCTTCCCTTCACATCCTTTCTTTATATTTTCCCATCGAATACACAAAGGACACTTACTTATTTTACTTGCCACTCAATGTGTCCTTGCCATCCAGATACTAAAATGAGCTCTGAGTCATCACAGCCATGTGGTAGGTTGGACAATGGCATAGTTAAGTGATGGGACTCAAAGTGGCCAGTCGGTCTCTTCATCAAGTCACAGAGTGGAGTAGCAGATTTTGCTGGTCATCTGACAATGTAGTTGGCAGTTGTTTATGGTCATGACATGTGTACTCTGGGACTTGTATTGGAAATTTTTTTAAAAAAATTAAATAAAATATATTTTTAAAGGTAGATAAGACCATATAAGACTATAAATACATAAATAAGTCCTTCAATTGAGTTTAATCCATACATTCAGCCACCAAAAAGAGTTTCTCAATATATGATTAGTACCATCAATCACAGGCATGTGAACATACAGAGATTAACAATATAATTTGACATATCAAGGGACTTTAAACTACAGAAACACTTTTAAATCAAGAACTAAAATGTATAAAATTCATATATAGAATTCCTGAGACAAATCTGTTTTGAACAATATTTTCAAAAGAAGCATTTTGCCTGCCTAAACCGTCCATCATTTAAAATCCCGACGAACATCCTGCATTTCAACCTGGGGGCTAACTTCTGTGCAGTGTGTAATTGTGTTTGGGCAGGAGGCTACATGCATGGGGAGACCATGAAAATCCATGTTTAAGTTACATTTTGTGACCTAACCAAATTAATTTTTTTAAAAGGCAGTATCTGGCAATATTTGAGTTTATTCAAGTTATTATGAGAGGTATTTAATGATTTGTCAGTAATACTTACTGGTTTATGTGTGTGGACACATGAAAACAAAATCATTATGGAGAGGGGAAGATGGCGGCGAGGGGAGTGCATTGCCCCCGTGTGCTGCTTCACTGTGTGGGAGTATGACAAGTCAGGACGGCTAAAGGATATCTTGTTAGGAATTTCCAGCAATAGTGGGGTGCGCCGGAACCTGGAGGAAGGATTTCCATCGCATGAGGATCGGCTACGGGGACTCAAACGCGAGAGGTTTGTCGCACGGAGGGTAATACTGCTTATTCAGCAAATCGCCCCGCGGCTAGAGTCTGCAAGGCGCGCTGGGATAGAGACGCAGGGTTACAGCGCTGCAGTTTCTGTCAGCCGTGCAAGCACCGCACTCAGGGCTGAATTCTGGGTTCGAGACGGGGGAAGGAAGCGGTCCATCTCGGTTCTCCACACCGGTCAGACCACAGAGGAGGCCAGCAGCCACCATGTTGGTAAACTGACGTCACCACACCTGTTTTTGACTGACCGCAGCTCATTCAGCCATAGAACAGGTAATTTCAGGCTGCAATTCGCCTGCGGCTTGCAGACAGATTGCTAGGGTTCAGCGCCTGGGGGCTTCTTAAAATCTGATCTTATCGGAGTGAACACGGAGCGCGGGGCGGCCGAGTTCCGGCTCCCGGAACCGTCCCGGAACCGCCCTGGCTCAGGGCTGCGGAGCCCGCGGAGGCTGCTTCTTGGACCCTGCTCCTATCAGAGCATACACCAAGCACCAAGCGGCCGAATTCCGGCTCCCGGAACTGAGCCCGCGGGGGCTGCTTCTTGGAGCTTGCACTTATAGGAGCTTACACCGAGCACGGAGCGGCCGAGTTCCGGCTCCCGGAACTTCCCTGGACCGGGGCTAGGAGCCCGCGGAAACTGCGTCTCGGTCCGGGTCCTGCTGAGGGCAGGTCAGGACTCACCCATTGCTTGGGTTGCCTGGCAAGGGGAACGAAATGCTGCCATTCGCATAGGATACCAACATGGCAGAGATCTGATGTCAGCAGAAAGCGGTGGAGGAGAGATCTTCATCAATACCAGCGGTGACATAAGCAGTTGGTCTCCCGGTAAGGGGGGTGAGGCTCAGTCACCCGAGTCTCCTCAATTTGTCCTCGAGCCAGAGGGAAGGAGCCGGGCCGCCGCCAGCCCCCGGAGCAGGCCCAGCGGCTCGCCAGCGTGGTGACCGCGTGACCCCAATTGGAGAGGGGGCGGAGCAGAGCCGCCACCCACACCCGCCAGGTGGGCAGACCCACGACCCAGTAGTACATGGGCGTGGTAGGAGGGGCAGGGCAGAGCCGCCCTTCGCGCTTGCAAGGTAAACAGACCTGTGACAGCCTGGCGGGTCAGGCCCAGTGGCCTGCCAGTGTGGTACACACGTCACCCCAACTCGAGTAGGGGCAGAGCAGATCCTTATCCCACGCCCGGATCAGGCCCTGCCGGTGTGGTGGTCACGTGACCCCAATTGGAGTGGGGGTGGAGCGGAACCGCCACCCGTGCCCCCAGGGTGAGCAGACCAGTGATCAACCTGCAGATCAGGCCCAGGGGTCCGCAGGCGTGGTAGGAGGGGCAGGGCAGATCCGCCGCCCGCGCCTTCAAGGTAGGCAGACCTACAACAGACCAGCGGATCAGGCCCAGGAGCCTGCCGGCGTGGTACAAACACCACCCTAATTGGAGTAGTGACAGAGCAGAGTCGCCTCCCTTGCCAGGAACAGACCCAGCATCCTGCAGGCGGGGTAGTCACGACACCCCAATTGGAGTAGGGGCAAAGCAGAGCCTCCACCCGTGCCCGAAAGGTGGGCAGATCTGCGACAGACCAGCGGGACAGGCCCAGTGGCCTGCTGGTACGACAGACACGTCACCCCAATTGGAGTAGGGGCAGAACAGAGCCGCCACCAGCTCCCAGAACAGGCCCAGTGACCTGCCGGCGTGGTAGCCACGACACCCCAATTGGAATAAGGAGAGAGCAGAGCCGCCGCCCGCACCTGCAGGAAAGATACGCAAGCAGTATGAAAAGACAAGGAAAGAAAGGACCACAAGCAATGCAGGTCAACGCAACTTTAGAAGAGGTAACAGCTGCAGCAGATGGAATGTCAGATAAAGAATTCAGGATATACATGCTTCAGATGATCTGGAGTATCAAGGAAGACATTAAACAGCAAAATCAGACAATGAAAGATCACTTCGACAACGAATTACGCAAACAAATCCAGGAAGCAAAGGATCAACTATACAGGGAGATAGAGGTTATAAAAAATAAGCAATCAGAAATCCTAGAAATGCAGGAAGCAATAAACCAACTTAAAAACTCAATGGAGAATACTACCAACAGAGTAGAACACTTAGAAGATAGAACATCAGACAATGAAGACAAAGTATTTCAACTGGAAAAGAACATAGACAGCTCAGCAAGACTGTTAAGAAACCATGAGCAGAACATCCAAGAAATATGGGATAACATTAAGAGACCAAACTTAAGAGTCATTGGGATACAGGAAGGTACAGAGCTCCAAACCAAAGGAATGAGCTGTCTATTCAATGAAATAATACAAGAAAACTTCCCAGACTTGAAGAATGAGACAGAATCCCAAATCCTAGAAGCCTACAGGACGCCGAATGTGCAAAATCATAAGAGATCCACACCTAGACACATTATAATGAAGATGCCCAACATACAGAATAAGGAGAGAATTTTAAAAGCTACAAGAGAAAGGAAGCAGATTACATTTAGGGGCAAGCCAATCAGGATAACAGCTGATCTTTCAACACAGACTCTGAAAGCTAGAAGATCCTGGAATAACATATTTCAAACACTGAAAGATAATGGGTTCCAACCAAGAATTGTGTATCCAGCGAAATTAAGCTTCAGGATGGAGAATGAAATTAAAACCTTCCACGATAAACAAAAGTTTAAAGAATTCGCAGCTAGAAAACCATCTCTTCAAAACATCCTAGCCAAAGTATTACAGGAAGAGGAAATGGAAAACAACAATGAAAACCAACAGTGGGAGGTAGGACAGTAAAGGGGGGGGGAAACAATCAAAGAGGAAAACAAACAATGTTTAGTAACAGAAATAAACAAATATGGCTGGAAGAACAACCCATATCTCAATAATAACCCTAAATGTTAATGGCTTAAACTCACCAATTAAGAGACACAGGCTAGTAGAATGGATCACAAAACAAGACCCAACAATATGCTGCCTACAGGAGACGCATTTGATAGGAAAAGACATACATAGGCTGAAGGTGAAAGGTTGGGAAAAATCATATCACTCATATGGACTTCGGAAACAAGCAGGCGTGTCCATACTCATATCAAATAAAATAGATTTCAAGCCAAAGTTAATCAAAAGAGATAAAGAGGGACACTACATACTGCTTAAGGGAACCATACACCAACAAGACATAACAATCATAAATATTTATGCCCCAAACAATGGTGCAGCTATGTTCGTCAAACAAACTCTTCTCAAGTTCAAGAGTCTAATAGACCACCATACAATAATCATGGGAGACTTCAACACACCTCTCTCGCCACTGGACAGATCTTCCAAA